AATGTCTTGAAAGGGTCAAAATTAGCATGAAATTTGACTGAATGATCATTAAATTATGATTGTATATTGATTTGGGTGGTTTTGTAATGTTTTTAGAATCTGCCCTAGTGCAGCGTCTGTCCGGCGTGTAGCATCAAGATTTTACTTTAAACAACGTCGTCTTCATAACCAAAAAGGCCTAGAGTGATGATATTTGGCCAGAAGCAAGTTAGGATGAAGGCAACCAAATTTGTTCAAATAGGGTTCAAATATGTTAAAAACTTTAATCAACTTCTTCTGAATATTTAGCGAGTAGCATGCTGGGATGAAGGGCTACCAATGCAAGTTTGTTCAAATGAATGACCTTCATTCATATTCAAGGTCACAGGGGGTCAATTATCTTCAAAAACCTTGAAACAACTTCTTCTGAATAACCAAAAGGACCAGGATGGTGATATTTGGTCAGTAGTATGCTAGAATTTTGTTAAAATTAATGACCTTGACTTATATTCAAGGTCACAGGGGTCAAATATGTTTAAAATGTTTAAGCAACTTCTTCTGAATAACCATGAGGACCAGTATGTTGATATTTGGCCAGTAACATGATTTGATGATTTGATTTTTCATTTGAATGACCTTGACCCCTTTTCAAGGTCACATTTAGTCAATGTATAAACATTTAAATGACCTAATCACCATAAGCAAAAGGTCTAGGGTGGTGATATTTTGATAAGTTGCATGCTGAGATGAAGAGTTATAAAGTTTGTTCAACGTAATGACCTTGTTCGACTTTCAAGGTCACAGGGGTCAACTGTTTTTGAAACTTTTAACAGGTTCTTTTAAATGCTGACATTTTGCCTGTAGCTTTATTTTAGATGACTTTTAAGGTTACAAATGCAGGCCAATTTGGCCTCTTGTTTTTATAATACTGAATTCAGAAAACATAAAATGAAATATTTGTGACAAGTTTATTTTTTGATTTTCAGACTAACAACCCGTGTTAGGGTTAATGTTTGGTGTTTAAAGGGTGAGTTTAGAGACATTCAAGTTACACCTCCAGATCTCACTTTTATGAGAACTTGCAAATTGCAGGATATTTTATAATTAGGCCTTTATTTTACTGAATAAGTTCCTTTAAGTCTTGAATTTCAAAGTAAAATTTCTGTATAACTCCTGTGGATATGTATCCCATGAACTCTCACATACTTAGTTATAAATACAAATGTATTTACACCCTAGTATGGTAACATGCATTTACACCTTAGTTTGGTAACATGAAATCCGCTCCTATTAAGAACTGGATGGTCATCAGTCAAGGTTAAAGGGTAAAGGTCACAACTTTTTGTGTCGCCTGTGAAAAGCTGTGTCGGCGGCGGCGGCGGCGGCGGCGGCGGCCGAACAGAGGTTGTCGTGTGATAACTTGAGTTTCCTTGGGCCGATCAAACTCAAACTTCATGCAGTGCTTCCTTACCAAAAGTGCTTGCTTGGGATTGCTTTTCAGGTCTGCAGGTCAAAGGTCAAGGTCTCTGTTACTATAAATAGAAACTTCACTAAAACTGTATACTGGACGGCTTCGATCTACCACATTTACCAAATGTTATTGACAACACTAGCTGTTTAACATCATAATCCACAAGTTTATTCATTTATTTATGGGAAACCATCCGACAAATCATACAAATTAAACTTGGAATTGAGACAATGAGTATCCATAGCAAGTTCCTTAAATTCTTCCCAGAATAACAGATTATATAACAAAATGATGCCATCCAAAAACATAATCTATGATTATTGCTTACTTTTAACATTATTTCTTGAAATGAAAAGTGTATCTATTTCTTCGTAATCTCCCAGCTTCCTGCGCAGGTGACATATCCACTTCCGTGGAATTCTTGTTGAAGTAAAAAGCTTGTGTACAAGACAATTCATGAACCCTTTAACTAACATGGTCAGTACTGTGACATCAAGTTATGTCAAGGTTCAAAGGTCAAAAGTTACTCCTGACCACTTCAGGGTCATTGGGACCGGACCAGGGATCATATTTATGCGAGCCCGTGTTGATTTAGTTTGTTGAGTTAGCCTGCTTGTACAAGAGTATTTAGATTAACAGTATTTCCGGCACACACACAGTGAATTTGAATTAGCCTACATGTAGGAATTTTTGAGTTTGTGGTCGGCAGCATGTACACTAAATATAAAATTCATGCGACAGAGATTAAAATCTCCGTTATGCTCCTTTGTGGTTTTCTTGTATAAACAAGGCTCTTTCTGGTCAGTAGATTTTAAGTACCGGAAAACCTACATGTTATTGAAGTAGGATGGACTAGTATTGGCGAGCAAGATGTTGCTTTGTTGACACATATGACCGTGTGTCAAGGCTTAAGTTTAAAGATTTCCTGTTATATTTACGCTGATCCTTCCCTTGACTTTTAAGATAATAACTCTTGTCTCGTCTTACAAGGTCGAGACCATGAGGACACCCAGATTTGTTCTGTGACTGGTAAATACAGTATATTGTCCAACCTAACTGACTTTATATAGTATACTTGTTGTCAGAATGTTCTGATAGTTAAAAGTTGATAGGTAAACTGCAATCTGATGAAAAAAATCATCTGATACAACTTCCTACAAAGTTAACGAAGCGATTTAACAGATGATTTTAATCAGATTGGGTTAACTGATGTTAACCATTAAGGTAGAAAGTCACGACTTTGATTTGTATCTCTAACAAATAAGAGTTCGTATTTGTTTGGCATTTCTCTGACTTGTGTATATTTCTGTTTTTGCCAAAAATACCACAGGGATTTGATGCTAGACCTCTCGATTTTAATGCAGAGAGCTTATCCATTGTGCTGCCAGCTTTACTCAGATTGGGTTAACTGATGTTAACCATTAAGGTAGAAAGTCATAATTTTAATGCAGAGAGCTTATCCATTGCGCTGCCAGCTTTAATCAGATTGGGTTAACTGATGTTAACCATTAAGGTAGAAAGTCACAATTTTAATGCAGAGAGCTTATCCATTGCGCTGCCAGTTATGATTTCAGTTGTGTAACTACCTTCAAGATCTGTATATGGTAGAAAAGGGGTAAGGCTCCGTTATAATTAACTGGGTTACTGTAGATAGTCTTCTTATCTCTGTTAGCTGCTAATAAATCAGATTGGTTATCACATAGGTATCTCATACTGTACTGGAAAAATTTGTTGCAACAATTTTTTTAAAAGTCATAAATACAGAAATATTTGCAAACTTCATTTCAGATAATTTCATAAAGTTTTATTTTTAGGTCACCTGAGCTTTAGCTCAAGTGACCTATTGCTATCCGTTTTCGTCCGTCGTCGTCCGTCGTCCGTTAACATTTTACATTTCAAACTTAAAGGCAAGTTCTGCTGGGCGGATTGAACTGAAAGTTGGTAGGAATGATCGCCCCATGGTCCTGACAAAGTTAAGTTAACATTATACTTAACTATTTTTTACTCAAATTGGTACATATTTAAACAACAAAAATAAATACTGTAGGACTCAGGTGACCGTTAAGGCCCATGGGCCTCTTGTCTTGAAAGACTAAGCAACTTGAGTAAAATGAGACAAGAACTGTAAAGATTGGTTACATATTTTGTTTCAAACAATGAGAAACCATTGAATTCAGTGGATGGACTGTAAATCAACCCAGAGTATATATTTTCTAAAGGAACAAAAACCTAAATTTATTAGGGCCCTGCATCACAGATGTTGGTGCCCTAGCTATAGTAATTACGATGTCTGCCTGTCTGTCCGCCCATCAGCACCTTTGTTTCTGAAGATTATTTTGGACTCCAAAAGCCTGAAATTTCTAAAACTTCACATGGTTATACACTGTGATTTGTAGATGTGCAAAGGGGTTTCACAATTTTATCATATCAAAGTCAAGGTCACTGTTTCTAAAAATAGAACAATGGGGGGTATTCAGTCAAAATACATTGTATGACCCTCAAAAGGCCAGATTTTGGTCGACATTTTGTTATGACATTATGAGGCAAAATTGGTCATAATCAACCAAGAAGTCAACTTAGCAAAGGTCAAGGTCATGGGGTCAAAGGTCATTGCCAAATTTTGTAAATCTCAACTGGTAAACATTTTGTTATAACATTATGAAGCAAAGTTGGTCAGAATTAATTTGGGGTCTGCATATAATCAGTAATCATGCTGTCCATCCATCTGTCTGTCCATTATCCGTCCGTCCGTTTATTAATTTGTCCTTTAGCACTTGGAGATTATCTCAGGAACCAGGCCAAAATTCTGTTTCACATGGTTATACATTGTGATACAGATATGCAATAGGGATTTAAAAAAATCTTAATGTCAAGGTAAAGGTCACTGATACTAAAAATAGAACTGGTGATATACTGTCAAAATCACATTGTATGTCGTCGTGTTTACACGGTGGACACCAGCTCATTTTGCAGATAAAAATATACCGAACAGACATGAATTTCTCTTAGTGTTTTACTTTATATAATGATGCAATTACTTGTCAGGTTTTAAAGCTTTACAATCCTAGGTGGCGTACATAAATACGATCATATCTTCTGTTCTTTTAACACAATTTTGTTCATACTTTTAATTTCGTGGCATTGTGGCAAATGATACAGATCTAGATATCTATGTGAATAATGCCATGACCTACTTCACAATGCCCAAGATGGTCAATGTAGTTTTTTCTTGGATTTTAAATTGGTGATATCTAGTCTGGTGTTACCATAACCTTTATGAAACTTTTCTTGTTTACACAACCAATTAGTGTTTCTATTGACGTTTCGATGACTAGTATGGTATGTACTCTGTAACCTTCATCAGACCAAATCATCCAGTGAAAAGATCTAGTGAAAGAGAGAATATGGGTTGTAAACAACAAAATAGACGTTACTATAACCTATTTACTAATTTTCATAGTGTAACAATAACCTATTTATTGTATTTTATATTGCTACAATAACCTATCGTTTATATTCTTCATTGTAATGATAACGTTATATTTTACAGGTTGGGATATACATGCATACAAGAACCCAGAGAAGGTACACTGGCTCAGTACACCAGCTGTCCTCTGTCCCGCGTAGAGATCTCCTAGCAGCATGAAGACTGTCTTTTTCATCTGCATCTTGAGTCTTAGACATTTGATAGGGTTTTCACAGGCATGCCTGATTTGCTGTGGATGTGGAAGTAAGTGTTTCTATTAGATATCTTTTTGTAACATGCATTAAACTGTTTAAAAATTTCATTATTAAGAGGAAGATGTTACTGCATTAAAACATTGCGGGAATTAATAGTATAATCTTCGGTGCTGTATTATAATACTTGTTTGGTGAAATACCGTGTCTGACTGTCAGGAAATTTGTCAAAAGTTAAGGCCACTTAAAAGAGATATGTTGATCAGTCTCAAAGGCCCTTGGGCCTCTTGTTTGTCTTTCGAAGAGCAATTTTAGTTCAGCTTAGCAAACTGATTTGGCAGCACACTGTGCTCAGAATGGGGAGAATCAAATTAATGCTTATGTATTACAATAAAATAGTTTAAACTAAGCAAGGCTGTCTCGCTATCAACTCAGACTTTGTGATCTTCAATACATATATGCAAGACCATACACTTGTGTTTTTCTAACGAATCAGAAAGCACGAGTTTATTGCGCGGACAAACATATTCACAGACTATCAACTCAGACTTTGTGATCTTCAATACGACCCTGTATGATGTATATGTCCAAATTTAATATCAATAATAACTGTCGTATAAAATGTAGTGTAGGAGGGGCCGGGCCACTTGAATGGCAGAAGACAAGGCCGATTTGGGAAATAAAAGAAAATCTGTAAAAAAAGAAAAAACACTCTTGTACAACTTGTTGTGTTAGAGCTCAATTTGGAATGAAACATCCTCGTTTTATCATGAAAGCATTAGCTGTATTTTGCCAGGACAATTAGTCAGAAGGTAAATGATAAGAAATTTCTATTGTTGATAAATGTTCTGAAATAAAACAATGGGAAAATAATCTGTTTTTCAGGTTTCTTGCCAGACGACCCATTTTACTTCACAAACGAGACGAGCAACCTGATTTGTGCACTGGACAAACCAAGCAATTTAGTGAACGCATCAAAACTAAACATCCTGTTAAATGATTCGGAGGTGGATCCATCCTCCCTCAACATTGTGAATGAAACTGCTGTATCATTTAGGAAGGTGATGAAGAAAGAGGACGATGGAAAATACAAGTGTAGAATCAATGGCCTTACTGGATCATCTGGTATTGTCGGAACCACATATCTAAAAGTTGATGGTATGTAATTATAATTATTGACATGCACTATAATTTGTGATGTAGACTATAGAACTGGTAATTGACATACAATATATTTTGTGTTGGAGACTATAGAACTGGTTAATGGCATACAATATAATTTGTGTTGTAGACTATAGACATATCTAAAAGTTGATGGTATGTAATTATAATTATTGACATGCACTATAATTTGTGATGTAGACTCTAGAACTGGTAAATGACATAAAATATATTTTGTGTTGTAACATACAATATATTTTGTGTTGTAACATACAATATATTTTGTGTTGTAACATACAATATATTTTGTGTTGTAGACCCATTAAAACCCATCAATGATATACAATGTTTTTTGTGTTGTAGACCCATTAACACCCATCAATGACATATAATGTATTTTGTGTTGTAGACCCATTAACACCAATCAATGACATACAATATATTTTGTGTTGTAGACCCATTAAAACCCATCAATGACATATAATGTATTTTGTGTTGTAGACTATAGAACTGGTTAATGACATACAATATATTTTTTGTTATAGACTATAGAACTGGTAAATGACATACAATATATTTTGTGTTGT